CCTCGCTTGTCCCCAGCCCCACCTCGCTCCATCAACCCGTGCCAGGAGAGCCAAACTCCAGCCGGGGCCGTCGATACGAGCCTCAGAGACAGAGAGGAATGTTTGTTCTCTCAGACCCTGGAGACCTCAGGCCTGTTGGTCCAGATTCAGAACAAAACCTTTCAGAGGATTTGAGGGTGGTGACGTTGAGATATATCAGACAGAAGCTAAACTTTCTGTCCTTCAAGTTGTTGGAAAAATGTCAAACTTTAAAGTTCCTGACATGCATTTCCTTCAAACACAAAAAAGTCAAAGAAAACATCTTTATATTTAATAAACTTGACACAATACACACAATTTTACCCATTTCATCACATAACTGATTAATTTTCTTTTGAATTTGGCTCAGACAAACTGAAACAGGAAGTGACATCGAAGGGGAACTCTTTAAAAAAGGTCTTTATTTTTAGAAACAATATTATTTGAACTCTGACTCTTCTTTATCTCTGATAGTCACTCAAAATAACCTAAAGAAACTTCATATTCGTCTCTGCAGTCTGTGTTGTTAGTTAGTGTAGCAGCGCTGTGTTTACATGCAGACATTCCCCTTTGACATCACTTCCTGTTACTGAACAGGAGAATATCTCAACAACTCTCCGTTAAATTTTGTTGCAATTTGTTATTATTGTTATCTTTCCAATCATACAACCATGTTCATRACAAAAAAAAAAGATGTCACAGGTACTTTAATTTGAGGATTTGAGTGATATTAAGCAGGTGTTTGGGTCTGAAGGGGTCAGAACCACCAAAACTGGTCCAAGAAAAGAAAACCAGATGATCAGAGAATCAAAAACCGGGTCATGGAGGATCATTGGTGTCAGAGTCTGTGGTTTTGTTTTGGTCTGTATTAGTTAAAGCAGTTTCTCTCAGGTTGTCTCAGTCTGTTTTGCTTCACCTGAACAGGTGGTCCACATTGACCAATCATCCTCACACCTGTCTTACATGTCATTCCACCCTCACTGTTTTCAGCTGCTTCTCTGATCCTTGTCTTTTCAGCTTTTCTTGTCTTGATTCCAGCTTCTGTGTATTTTGGACTCCCTGCATCAGCTGCATGTTTTGTCTCTTTGAAGTCAAACTTGAGTTTTGTATTTTTACGCGCTCTGGTTCGAGCTGTGTGAACGGACCAGCTGTGCCTTCGGGGCCTTTAATTAGGTTTCCATCGCGCCCCCATGAAATCGATGCAGCATTGATTTGATTTTCCCTTCAGAAGCTGCTGTGTGGTCGCTGAGGCCGAGCCAGATGTTACATCAGGACCGCTGRGTTACACAACCAAAGCCCCGCCCACCCGATACAAGCCCCGCCCACACGCAGACCTTCACCCCACACAGCCAAGCTCAAGGGAAATATGCACTGCAGCCACTCTGTTAAAGTTATTTTTTTAAAACTTTTAAGTTTTAAACTTCATATTTCTGGTAATTTAACTTTGTTTTATTTTTTTTATAATAACAAAGCTTTAATGAGTTTGTTTGGTGCAGATCAGATCCTAAATACAAAGTGTTTTAGTACCTTTAGGCCATTTTTTGTTTGTGTTGAGTTTGTTTTACTCCATGAGAAAACACCCAGCTATTAAGGCAAAACACTTCAGCCCAAAATTTAAAAATAAACACCATTTTCCAGTGTTTCATGAATAAAACAAAACCGTTAAAGCTTTAAAAAGATGTTCACAAAGTTATTTCCGTTTTTTTGTTGCAACTCTTCTTTTTGTTTGTTGCTCATGTTTTTAATCTGATAAATTAAAATATGCTGCAGTTCACATCCTGAGCAGCAGGGGCCACTAAAGAGCTAAACACCGCAGGAAGCTGCAGACCTACATCAGTTTGAACCCTKGTCCTGGTCTGGGTCCTCACAGGGTGCAGGTGTTCAGGTGAATCAGCTTCAGGACTCACCTGGTCAAGTTTGGAGGTAAGTTCACTCTGATCAGCTGCATTTTCATCATATAAAACCTCCTTTTGACAAACGTTTTGACTCCTAATTATAAAAAGATGATCTCCTTATTCTCTTAAGTATTTTCTGTGGAAGACGATCCAGACTGAACACAGAAACTTTGAATCCATTAAGAGAAAAAAAAAATACCAGTTTTGTTATCAAAGTTCGGTTTAAGTAGAATCAAATTGGTTTAATRTCACAATTAGCCTATATTAGGAATGTGACAAAAACAATGTCCCATTTTATTGGATGTAGCTAAAATAAGCAAATAATACAAACTTTGTTTGAACTGGTTGAAAAATAATTAAATTGTGCAATTTTATTGGAATAAAAAAATGCAATTTTACACTACGTCCATGGTGTGATTTTGATCACTGGAACTTCTAAAAAAAATGGGTCCACTCACCTGTCACAACTATTTTAATTGGTCATGATTTGATTTAGTTTAAATGGTTTGATGTGAATTTAATAACCTGAAGTTCACATTAATTCGAGGCCCTGTGGATGATTTTTAAATTCTTATTTTCCTGCTCCAGATGAGCAGAAATGGTTTACATTAACATTTTTGAGAAATAAAATCTGAAAATAAAACCGTAGCACAAGAATATTTGTATAAATATGGAGTGAGAATATAAAAACATGACAAACTGGTCAGAGGATCGAATTAGATCAAGTTAGTTTGATGTAAGAAATGTTTCAGTCAGACTGAGGAATGTTTCAATAAGTTTAGGAAAAAAGGGTTTAAAAASAGGTTACAGCTCAGCATTATAAAGGAAACACCAGCACCAGAACCAAAACAGAATCAAATTATTAACATTACAGAACATGTCAGATTGGTCTGCAGAGAGAATAATAAATTTTACAGTAAAACTTTAAAAACAAACAAAAAAACTTGATTTTTCAGTCATTCTGTGCTTCAGCATCACCTGATAATTATTCAGTTTTTTTAATAATTACAATCAGACGTTGCACATCATGACATATTCACATTCATACATTAGAATCATCTGTTAGGTTCTCTGTCATGATACAAAGATGTGCAGCTGCAGAAGGGCTGTGTATTGGCAAGAATTTGGCGATATGATACATATAATGACAGAGGGCTCACGATACGATATATCCCGATATATTGCGATACTGTAAACAAGGTGATATATTGTGATTTTTTTTGTCCAAAAATTCTATTAAATAAAAACCTCTTACTGGAAAAAAAAATGAAAAACCAAAATTCATTGTCTCAGAAAATTCTAATATTACACAGACATGCTTTTGATACATTTAGCTGTGTTCTGCTTTGTAT